TAATCGTATAAATATAGTTCTAATTATTCTATTTCAAAAATAAAAGTTTGAAAATATTAACATTATAATCTTCTAAATTTATTAAATTAGATGTTTAATTATATAATTTTTAAAACATGTAGTAAATTATTTAAATAGTTCATATTTTTAGGTTCAATTTGAAATAGAATGCTATTGCACATATTAATCTCTTTGATATATGATATATAAGAAATAACAAAAATAACAAAAATATACATATATAATTATAGTTAATAATATTTTTCGTAATTTTAATTATTTTGTCTCAGAAAATTAATTGTAAAAATACTATAATAAAAATATTCATATAACAAAAAGTAATTCATGAAATCTAAAATAATAGTATAATAATAAAATATATATGAAAATCTAATATATAGAATTACCAAAATTTCAGTATGTTTTGAGAGGTATTAAATTTTAAATAGAACCTTTTTAAGTAGAAATGTTTCAAAAAATTTGAAATGTCCTTTTGATTTTAACTTTAAAGTGAATTTTCAATTATAATATTTGGAATAGAAATGTTTCTCTGCAACATTAAAAATACAATGAAGTTAACATATAATATTAATATACAGGTCCCAGTTTTTTCCGGCATAACTTTGCCAGCGTGTTATAGAAGCAAAAGTAAGAAAAAAATGTTACATAAACATATGCTCTTGTTTTATTAAGGAGTTATAACTAATAATACAAAATGATAATGAACTGGCGTTTCGTCGACACAGCGTACAAACGTATAATCATTCGTATAGACGTATCTCATTGAAGTTCTGTGTTTACTAACAAAACTAAATCCAACAAAACTAAGCAAAATAACAGTAGAGCTTAATGTAATAACATTTCAAAATGACATCCATTATTACGAATATAGGATTGGCATCTAACAAAAATTGACTCTATCTCATTATTAATGTCTTCTTCATTTTCTCTAATTGCAACAAATGTGTCATTAATCTTTTGTACTAACTATTCACTAGTGTTAATTTGTGCTTCACAAACTTTTGCTTTCACAACTTCCCACACATAAAAACACACACATATATATATATATAGTGTTCAAAACATTTTTTGTCACACAATCAGAAGTGCCTGAAAAACTGTGGTGACAGTTACGTACCACACCCTGTATATTATTTAAAAATAAATATATTACTGATGTTTCTTTAATATTAATGTTTTCCAAAATAAAGTCTTATAAAATAAAATATTTTGTTAATAAAACATTTAATACTCTTCATAGTTGAATAAATTATACTTTATATCATATTATTCTTATGTATTAGTTTTAAAAATTAATTGTTATTCAATAACCTAATTTATAACTATAATTAATAAATATAAATATATCTTTCATTATTTATGATGTAAAACAATGTTTCCCAAAAATTTTATAAAATGAAATCATAAAATATAAAACAATAAATATTAAAATAATAAGTTAATATAATAAATTAAATGTGATAACAAAGATTACATTTTGCTATTGTGCAAAGCATTTTGGCTTAACACAAATTCAGTTTTTGGTTTTCTTGATATGAATTCTGTAGCATCTTGTATCAAAAAATTCATAGATTTTAAAATTTCTTCTGCTTTGCTTACTACTATTTTTCTTTCTCGTTGATGTTGCCATACATATCTCTTTGCTTTTCCTATGTGTTGTTTATATAACAATTGTGTAAACTTCATAATAATCTACCTAAAAAAAATTATAATTTATATGATGATTAAAAATTATGTTTCTTTAATTAAATTTTATTTCATTATTAGATATAATAACCTAAATTGGTTAACTACTTATTGGGTAAATAGGTTAACTATTTAATAGGCTAACTAGTTAATAAGGTAAGCGTTATTTTCTAAATATAAATTCCTTCTTACTGTACCTCTTTCTCGTTCTTTTTCTCTTCTCTTCTAAAATTATTGAAACAATTTTAACTTTTTAGAAAAACTAGTGCAAGACTGCCTTTACATGCATTGTCGCATTATAGGAATCGCCACAGTTTTGTGACTCCTCGTAGCGTTAATTTTATGAAGTACCTTGCAGTATGTATTTTGGCGCAACAAATATAAATTATATGACAGCCGAAAGAATGAATAAAAGAATTTTAATAACAAATTTATTGATTCAATATAAACGTAAATCGTTATTGATAATTATTTTAATCACTAACTAACCTATATTTACTTTTGAATTGTCATAAGAAATATTACTAAGTAAAATGTTTATTTTGTAATATTAGACACCAATTTATTTTAATTAATATTTACTATTAACGACCTTTTCATTCTAAATAGTATTAAATAATGTAATATAATGTAAAATAATATAATTATATTAAATAAATAATATACTTTTTTATTCTAAAACTACAGACGAAGTACATATATGATATATCTCATCAGTGATATTACTATAAAATTCGGGCGGTATTTCCGATTTTCATAAAATTGATTTATAGAAATCGAACAACTTTTTTCTTTGATAAAAACATCAGTTTCTTTTCATTTCCGAGTATGTAATCGCGAAAAACCACTACAATGAATTATATACATAAACGTATGTGACAGCCACGTTTCTGTTCTGTTTTATGTAGAAATTAAAGCTTTTAGTTTAAATTTATTTAATAAATATACTTACCTTATACTATACTTAGTTTTTAGTGACACCTTCACATATTTCAAATTGAGTTTAAATTTAGTTATATATTTTGCCAATGGTCGGCAACTTAAATAATATTTTTTACAGTCTCGCATACTTCGACAATCAATTTGTTAAATAACGTTTCTAATAGGTGTTGCCACCACGTGAAAATATGCAGTGACTTCCATTAATATTTGGATATTTAAATATTCGAACATTAAATATTCTTAAATTTCGAACACTATTGCAATTTTGTAAAAAGAAATCATACAATAATAAATTTAGACTCATTTTAAAACTTAAAACTCTTACTTTTAACATGCATCGTTCATTTTATTTTGAGATGTTTTTAGAATACGTAGCAGATGGCAAAGTAATACTTTTCTTTTCTAAAATTCTATAAATTGTCATAATATGTAATAATACTGAAAAATTTTTGTTTATAACTGAATCTACAACGAATTTGAAAATTAAAATCATCTCTTTATAACAATCCTTTTATACAACACTTATTGTATAATCTTTTTTCGTCAATTTATTGAACTTTAAACTTTGAAATATGAACGAAAATGAATGTAACAATAAAAATGTTACGATTTCTTGAATTTTCTCCACGTAAGTTCAATATTCCAATATTCAATAAAATAACGAAAGATCATACATACATAGGTATCCCGGAATCATTACAAAGGCTTCTATCTTCAAATCCATTGCAGATTCAGTTATGAAAATTTTTTTTATACAATGCTTTCATACACTGACAATTTGTAGCGTTTTTAAGAAGGAAAGTATTTTCATTTATTCAGTCACTGTGTGATGTAAAAACATTTTAGTATAAAATGAATGGCGCGTTTTAAAAATAAAGGCTATAAAACGAAACCAATTTATTGTCGTATGACTTTTTTGTATAAAATTATGTTTCAATATTTAATGTCAAAATATTAATAGGAGTCACAGTATAACTGAGCCCAAACTTAGTTCGAAATGCTTGTAGACTATCCTTGACTCTTATTGTGAATATTTTCCATTATTTCTAATAATAGTAGCAATTTTTCGCGATTATTTCGAAAATTAAGAGAGAACAACATATTTGTGAAAGAAAAAACATTTGTTCAAAACATCAATTTTTACAATATATATTAATTTTATGAATATATTAATTTTACATTAAAATTATCGAGATACCGTTTGAACAGTACAGTATTACCATTGGTATTATAAAGAAACCTAGTAAAAACATGAATGCATAAGTGGAAATGTGCAATAAAAATAACTCTCAAGAAATAAATAAAATTTTTACAAATACAAGCAAAAAATGTTTGATATAATTATAAAGCAATAAAGCTATTACTACAGCGTATTAATGTTTCAATCTTTAGTAATAACATAAATACAAGAATTTCAAAATTCTTCATTTGAAAATAAAGAAACGAAGTATAATTATCAGGGATGTGCGGGCCCTCGAAATTTCGGGTCGGGTAATGATCGGTCAGGTCGGGTCGGTCAGACTATTATTAATTATGTTTAATATTGAAACTATCATAACATCTCTTATAATTGAGAACATAATGTTATTTATAAAACTATTATATTATTGTAAAAAGATTCAAATAAAAGAAATATAAAATATTTAAGAATTTTAATTTTAGGTTTTACTTTATACACAGTTTGTTATATCATACAGAATTATTTTGTACAGGTTACTATGTTATTAGGTTATGTTTTCATGAAGGAGAAACTTCTAATATTGTCAAACATTTATTACGACTTAGAAATATCTAATGTGATAAATTTTATATTTATTTTCATAGTATTTTTTAACGATTTCTTATAATAGTACAAACATTATTTTTCTTTTCTTTAATATTAATTCACATCATACATATTTTATTAAATATAAGGTAATAATCATTTTGTTTTGTTTTGATGATAATTTTAATGATACAATAAGGTTAATACATTTTAATAATTATTCAAGAATAATTTTTTCAACATGAGGAGAAAATTATCCTTAAGCATTATTCTTTACTAAAAAATAATGTAAGCATAAAACTAAAAGAAAAAAATTAAATCTATTTCTAATTTAAATGTTTTCTTATATTCTATATATATTGTTAAATATTTTATTTAATCAATAAATAATATGAAAAATGCTTATATTTTATTACTATATTTTGTGTTTGTGTACTATTGTTTTATTGTTAGTAAATTTATATTTTATACATATGATTAAATTCTAGGGAATTTGAAATAGGGATATGGTATAGTTAACATTTTCTGTAAGAAAAATACATAACAAATGCGCGCGCATGCACATGCTATACTTTTATACCTAGTGATTTGCATATTATAAAAGGTTCCTACCTTTGATGTGTGAAAAGATGGTGACCTACTGATAAAGAAATTCTGTGATAAAAATTATATTTATTGAAGAATCTTTTCCATCATACAAATGTTGATAGTCTTAAAAGTAGGCAATGCATTGGAGTTGGATACATTTACAGCAATTTATGATAAATACTTCTGTATGTGTTATAATCATTTAAGTAGTTTACTATTTGATTAATAGAAAGGATATTATAAATATTAATAGTGTTTTTAGTATATGAAAAAAGTTATGAAGTTTTTTTATAAATTGTATTGTACTGTACTTGTTCAATAATGTGTATATTTACTAATAATTATATAAATGCATTTTTTCATAACGTGTTACTTATGTGTTTATTAACATCATAAAATGTCTGAAATAGATTTTTATTTTGATAATTTACATATTAATGTAATAATATCATTGCACTTGTACGTACATACTATAATGTAATTAATTCAATTTGTTTTATATATCTCTTTTGTTCTAATATAGCAATAATTATTTCCATTACATATTTCAGTGTTATCCTAAATTATTTTTACAGTTTTATTAATATGTATTTTATTGAATAATAAATATATTCATTCTGTTATTAAATTCAATTCTATTATTAAGATTATAAAACATTACAGATGAAACTTATATATAAATAGTAAAAAAATTATGAGCTCTCAAAAATTATATTGAATTAAACTAAATTGTATACAATGTCTCATTGTGAAGAAGTAGCATCATCTGGTTTTCACCAATTAAGTATTACAAGTAAGTCTTCTTTAAAAAATATTTTATATTTTTATTTATTGTTACAGTATACATATATGTACATATAAAATTAACGTTTGCATATTTATATACAAACTGATAATTATTTTTAAATATTTAACAATCATAGTTATACATAACAATATAATTTTATTGAGATTGCAAGTAAGAAGTGTTAGAAAAATATATAATTAATATTAATATATTATCTTATATACTTATAATATTTTGTATTAAAATTTTGTTATTTTAGTTGAAGGTGCTGTATTAAGAAGTTCTACGTTTCTAAAGCCTAATCCTTACATAGAATTTTCTGTTGACGATAAAAGTCCTCGGAAGACAGAAGTTTCAAAATCCACATATCAACCAAAATGGAATGAGGAATTCACAATACTTGTAACTCCATATTCTCAATTACATTTTCGATTGTTAGATCACAGTACATTTCGAAAAGATACCTTAATTGGAGAAAAGAAAATAAGTCTTTCTCAAGTATTATCTTATTATAATGGAAAATTAGAAAATATGGAAGTAACATTTGATTTAATGAGTGAAAATAAACATGATTCTCAGCTATGTAAGGTTGGGGAATTAATTACAATATTTGACGGATTAAGAATCAATATGCCAAATACATCGTCATTAGCTATTAATGAATCACCGTGTCAGACACAATCTGTCTGCATGCCTTTTGATGGTAAGAAACTAAAATTAAGCATACACTACTTTTTATACCAAAAATAGAAATAAAATTAATTTTTATTAAGATTATTATAAGATATATATGTGCACAAATAAATTCCAAATTTTTCACAAATAAAATTAAAATTACATAAAAACAAATATGTACGTATGAACAAATTTTGTCACGCCATGTATGTTGGTAAACAAATCTTTACATTGGTAAAAACAAATATTTTAAAATTATGCAATAGATCAAAAGTATAATATCATTTGTTTAATAATAATAAATTACGAATACCATTAAATAAAATAATATTTAAAAAAGAGAAGAAACGAATTTGAAAAATCATAGAAAATAAATAATTATATTCATAATTAAATTTGATGGCATTTTTGTTGTAGTTTATAAACAATCAAATTTAAAATGTCGCTTTTTAAAAAAATATTAGAAATAGTTACAAAATTGTATTTCATATTTAATAATTTTTTCAATTTTTTTACACAATAAATAAAATATCATTGAAGAAGTTTCTCTGTAAGAAATTAGCAATGATTTCTTTAATGTTTTTAAATAGTGCATTGGGTTATATTTCATACTTATTAAAGAATAAAAAGCATATATTTTAAAGTTATATTCTTATGTAAAATGAATAATTCAAAATATAATGGTCCCTATATAAATGATTCTATGAATACATAAAATTAATTTACACATAACATTTGCACTAGTTAAACTTTATCATAACAAGTATTCAAAATGTCTTTTATTCGTTTTACTTTTTACTGCTTTTTAAACATATAGTAAAAGCATAGTTGTGGGATTATAGTTGCATAGTACATCTTCTGTAACTATGTATAAGAATAAGGAGTATAAGAATTTTACATATCTCAAATATTAAACTATACTCAAATACATTCAGTTATTTTATGAAGTAATTTTTTAATGAATTTTCAATTAACAAGCATATAATTAGTCTTAAAGATTGGTTATGATATTATAAATTTTTAGATCTTATCTTTTCTTATTATTATTTTATAATTACCATTGTATTTATGAAAAAACTAATGTAATGAAAAATAAATAAGCATTTAGTAATAAATGAATAATATTTAGAAAATACAAATACATGTAAATGCTCACATTTGTGCAGTAAAAATAACTTATATGAATAATATTTTAAAACATAAACATAATTATATTTTAGGTGTTTCAAGTAATGATGCTGTTAGTAATAGTAGCATTCTTAACGGAGGAATTCGTGCTCGCATGAGATTTCATGAAGCTAAACATGCTGTTGCATCATCTACATTTCATGGAACATTAACAAGTGTTTCTCAGAATTCTACTTATAATAGTGGAGGTGAACAAGTTAATGCTAACAAAAATAATCAACAAATTGATTCTGTTACATCAAATTCACTATCAAATGGACATGCAATATCGCCTGCAGACAAATCTTTTGTAACATTGTCAGGACGTTCTACAGCACCTTTATCAACATCTGTATCGACATCTGGTATAGTAGATGGAAGAATTGTTAGTACATGTACAGAACAATTTCCAAAAGTTTGTGTCTCAGAGAGTCGTAATATTTCTCAACTTGAACAATCAACAATATTGCCTGGAACAGTTGGAATATCTAGATCAGATCAATTAACTGTTAATACAGACATATGTTCACATAATAGAACAGAACAATCTATTTCTAATGAACGTAATTCTCGAACAGAATCAGTTACTGGTCCTGTTTCAGATAGTTATGGAACTATGAGAACGGATCAAGATACTAATCCTTTAGTAGATGAATGTATAGTTTCTAGAGTAGATCAGTTTAGAAATTCTGGTTTAACTGATAGTCAGGGACATTCTCAAACAGAGCAATCTGTAGTATTTACTTTACCAGATGGTTCTCACTTAGAACAACCTACAGTGTTTCTTATGACAGATGGACGTGGAATCGCACGTTCAGACCAATCTTCAATATTATCTATGGGTGAAACACGTAGAATTTCTCATCCTGAACAGTATACAAATTCTACGACTACTCGTTCAAATCCTCGAGTAATACAACGAGTAGCTCCGCTAACAGGACAAACTACTATGATACCTGGTCAATCAACTCAATCTGAATCTTCAATAGCACTTGCTGATGTTGATCCCACAAATCATTCTGAAGAGCCATTACCTCCTGGTTGGGAAATGAGATATGACATTTATGGCAGAAGGTTATTAAAATTATTCAATTTTTGCATTTTTAAATATGTCTGTTCTTATTTTTTATGATATACTTTTAATTAGGTATTATGTCGATCATAAGACACGAAGTACTTCTTGGGAAAGGCCACAGCCTTTGCCACCAGGGTGGGAAGTTCGCAGAGATCCAAGAGGTAGAATTTATTATGTAGATCATAATACAAGAACTACAACATGGCAAAGACCAAATACAGAAAGATTGCAACATTTTCAACACTGGCAAGGTGAAAGACAGCATGTGGTACAGCAAGGTAACCAACGGTTTCTTTATCCTCAAGTAAGTAATAATAATGAAACATAATAATTTTATATTTAATTTTAAGAACATAGATATTGATATTGATAAGAACAACGTAGTCTAGAAATAAATTTAATATAATATGTACATATATAGGTGCATGGAAATCAAGCAGCTATAGCAGGACCCTCAACATCTGTAGTTGATGACGATGATGCTTTGGGACCATTACCTGCTGGATGGGAGAGACGTAAACAACCAGAAGGAAGAGTTTATTATGTAAATCATAAAAATCGTACTACACAGTGGGAAGATCCAAGAACGCAAGGACAAGAAACTGGAATTGATGAACCACCATTACCAGATGGTTGGGAAATACGATTAACTGAAGATGGAGTTCGATATTTTGTAGATCATAATACAAGAACAACTACATTTCAAGATCCAAGACCTGGAGCACCTAAAGGGTTTGTGTATCTTCCAATCAATATTAACGACTTTAATTTTTTTGTGTTTTTTTATTATATTCTTTAATATTTCTTTTTTATGTAGTCCTAAAGGTATTTATCGTGTACCAAGAGCATATGAAAGATCATTCCGATGGAAATTATCACAATTTCGGTTCTTATGTCAAACTAATGCATTACCGAATCATATAAAAATTAGTGTCAATCGACAGACATTATTCGAAGATTCTTATCATCAAATAATGAATGCAGAAGCTTTTGCGTTAAGACGTAGATTATATATCATATTTAAAGGAGAAGAAGGGTTAGATTATGGAGGTGTATCAAGGTAAACATTAAATCAATAATTTCGAGGAAAAATTATTTTATAAAGAAAAATAAAAATATATTAAATAAATTTTGCTTTCAGTGAGTGGTTCTTTTTGTTGAGTCATGAAGTATTAAATCCAATGTACTGTTTGTTTGAATATGCCAATAAGAGTAATTACAGTTTACAAATCAATCCAGCATCTTATGTCAATCCCGATCATTTACAATATTTTAAATTTATTGGAAGATTTATAGCAATGGTATGATCATTTTTACTATTAATAATAAGACATTTAATAAAATGAATAAAATTTATAATATATATATATTTTAGGCTCTCTATCATGGACGATTTATCTATAGTGGTTTCACTATGCCGTTCTATAAACGTATGTTAAATAAGAAATTGGTTATGAAAGATATAGAGTCCATCGATCCGGAATTTTATAAATCTCTTGTATGGATAAAAGAAAATAATATTGATGAATGTGGCCTCGAATTGTATTATAGTGTGGATTTTGAAATTCTTGGTCAAGTCATACATCATGAATTAAAAGAAGGTGGTGACAAAATTAGAGTTGTTGAAGATAATAAAGAGGATTACATTAGGTACTGTTAATAAATAGTAAGCTAATATTTTAAATCTTAAAAAATTATTACTCATTAAATATTACGATACAAGGTTAATGACAGAATGGCGAATGACAAGAGGTATAGAGGACCAAACTAAAGCATTTCTGGAAGGTTTCAATTCAGTTGTACCATTAGAATGGTTAAAATATTTTGATGAACGTGAACTAGAATTGATGCTCTGTGGTATGCAAGAAATAGATGTAGAAGACTGGCAACGTAATACAATTTATAGACATTATACACGAAACAGTAAACAAATCTTATGGTTCTGGCAGGTTCGTTATTATGTTTACAAAATTATTTTTAAAATGTACAATATGTCATATTATTACATTTACATATTTTATTTAGTTTGTAACAAGAACAGACAGTGAAAAACGAGCACGACTTTTACAATTTGTAACAGGTACTTGTCGCGTACCTGTTGGAGGTTTTGCAGAACTAATGGGTAAATAATAAACACCAATAACTAAATAAATATTAAATAATTTATAGTGATCATATGATTTATATTTGCGATTAGTTTTCATTATCTTTTCTATTTTTGTTTTTTCTTTTTTTCAATTTAGGAAGCAACGGTCCTCAAAGATTTTGCATAGAAAAAGTAGGAAAAGATACATGGCTACCTAGATCACATACATGCTTCAATAGATTGGATCTACCACCATATAAGAGTTATGATCAACTAGTAGAAAAGTTAAACTATGCAATTGAAGAAACGGAAGGTTTTGGTCAAGAATAATTAGAAATATATCTTATTAAACATATATGTTACTGCGTATAAAGTGATAAAGACAAATTTAGTATAGTAGTACAAAGTTTTAATGGCTTTATTTATCTTGTTTTCAATAACAAGACAAAATTATTAAATGAAAGAATTTTTTTAAATTAATGAAAAACGTTTGTATTAACCCTTTACGAACGACTACTTTCTTCACTGTTATTCCTGGCAACTCAAGGATATTTTGTATATGAAACGAGATTGAAGACTTAAATATTAAGGATGCAGAAGAATACGTATCTTATTGGTAGTAATTCAATACACTACATGTTAGAATATAATTTAAATTTTATATTCTTTTGAAGTATAGTATATTCTCGAGATGCTCAATTTGTACTTTTATTGTTACCGAAACAACAGAATTCAACTGTGCTAAAAAATAAAATAATAATGTCGCCATAGAGGCAACATTCGTCCGCAAAGGGTTAAATTTTTATAAAAAATCTTCATATTATTTTTAATCAAATATATTTTATTTATGTATATTATAATTAAACCTAAATATGTAAAAGTCGTAGAAAATATTAATGAAATGCACAGAAAATATTAACAAATTTGTACATATTTACAAAGTAAAACTTATAAAGGATTTATAGAAATAATAAAATGAAAGCAAAAATGCCAAAATAATTATGATAATTAATTTTTTTAAGATTTTAAGTTTTACTTTATTTTCTTATATTTCAAAAGTTAAATGATAAAATATAGTCAGTTTCTTAAATGTGAGTTATTAATTCTTTCTATGTTATTTTAATAATTTTCTTTAATGAAAGGCTTAAAAATTATAATAACAAATGCTGTACATATTAAGCTATTAATGTATTGTATTTTATGTGACAAGTCAATAATAACAATTTCATGTTTTGTCCTAAGTAGTTACAAAAAAATAAATTGAATAAATTTTGCAGATTAGAAAATGAAAAACAGCAGATTTGAAAGTAGCTATTTGTATAAAACATAAGAGTTTATAATGAAATAATATCTGATATTATTCATACCTATTATATATTATTGATACCTGATATTATTCATAGTTTCTGTATTTTAATTAGTTTTTTTTATTAAAACAAAAAATTCAAAAATACTATCTTTTTCCGTAAAAATTTTAATTTTGCAAATATTTATAAATTATTAGAATTTATTAACTTTTTCTTTACGATGCATAAATTTCGTTTTTTTTTTTTCTAACAAATAATAACGAAACAAGTGAAAACAATTATATATTATAACAACATTACAAATTATTTTTATTTTAATATTTTTATATTTACAATTAATAATAGAAATAACAAGAAAAATGAATTTAAATATATGTTCGAATCCAAAAACTTTAAACCCATAGCGAAATAATAATAATTCAATTTAATAATCAACATTTAATATTATAGAATTAAATTAATTTCTATTATAGAATTAAAATAAATTTGACAAAAATTTATTTTAAAATATAACATTTTTTATTTAAAAAAAATAAATTAAAATTTGTTAAAAAATATGATGTATATTATAATCTTAGGATTATAAACATGAGATTTATTAATGTTATTAATAATTTGTGTGTGCATGTATGCATTCGTATATGTACAAATAGGTATTGTAATTACTGTAAGAATTAACTCATTTATTTTGCATGCATTATAAAATTGTATATGTACACACACAAATTAAATTCATGGGTGTATTACATAGTATAGTAATACAAATAAAAATAAATAAATATATGAAAAATTTATAATATTTTAAAAAATAAATGTATTCATTCATTGACAAATTACTTGAAATATAAATACTTGTACTATAACTTCTACATAATGTATATTCTAAGTTTCGTAATTTAATGTGTACAAGGTATACATGTCTATAATGTATGAAATCATTTACTGTTATCTTCTCAAAATATAAAAATGTAAACTTTTAATTGAATAAGCTATGTAAACTTTTAATTGAATGAACTGTCTTATTTTAATATAACTATATGTTATTTATTATTTATCATTTTTTAGGTTCATTAAATTTTTACAATAATAAAAGTATTTTAAAGAAGAAACAAAAAGTGTAATTTATTTTCTAATAAGTTATTTGTAGAAGTTTTTCTGCAAAAGTTAAAAATGATTATGATAACAATTTTGATGTTTTGAAATAATTATAAAAAGTTGAAAGAAACCTTTTTGATAAGTGTAAAGTAAATGTAAAAGTATAAAAATACTTTGATATTAGATTGATATTAGATATTAAATAGTTTGGTATGAAATTGTGCAGAAAATGTTCATCTATTGTTTCGTCGACAGATAAGAATAATGTACAAATTTTTAAAAAGAAGATAACATTTACGAGAGATTTTATTTATATGGACTATTACAATTCACAAACGAGAATTAATAAAATTATATATAGGGATACATATTTGAAATATGGTTCCATCAAAGTTCTTTCCGGATAGATTCCGCAAAGATGGTTATCTCTTATCTTATCTTATCCGATCTTCTTTTCTACACTAGAGATAAACTTGCTGTTTAAAGGTAACTGAATGTATTCGAATCATATTATTCTTGCAAAAACTCGGTCGTATCGTACTTACAAAGACTCGGCCGTACCGTCAAATTCATAAGAGCAAATAAAAATGCTACGAACAAAATATTTCAGTTTTATGGAAGCTCAATCGAGCAATTCGCTAAAGCAATCGACATTTGTTTAAATTTTGTTAATAAATAATTTGAAAATATAATTCTGTTTCTGATATGCATTGATATTTATTTTTTTTTTAAATGAGAAAAATATCTTCTATATTTATTTTATAATTTCTATTTTTTCCTTCATAATTAAATTTTTAAATTTTTTTGTATTCAAATTCTTTCTCTATTTCTATCTTCCATCGAATGAAAATGTACATTTTCATTGCACATTCTCGCGTCCATCTCGGCAACCAGATTTGAGCATTAATCGATTAAAATTTTTAGTTTGATTGATTAACGATTATTATTACTGTTTTATTAATGTTTTACAATTACTATTACAATTATTATTTTACAATACAATTACTCGTCGAAAAATGGGCAATTGATTTAATTTAATCGAATAATAATCAATTATTAATTGTCAGTTATTACATCAAATTTGATTATAATTTTACTTAAATTGAAATATAAGGTCGAGAAGTAGAGAATGTAGAGCATAGAAATATATGTATGTCTAGAGTTGCAAGCTTAATAAACTTATCTTAAATTTTTTTTAAATTTGTTAAATAAAAAAACTTTATTCTAGTATAAATTAGATATTAATGTTATTTGATTTTTCATGGACTTAGACACAAAAATTACCATCTCTTTATATTACAGTAGAGTGATCGGTTAACGACATAATAATTTAAAGACAATGTTCGCTATCCGAGTTATTCATTATCCGATCATCGATGGTAGTAAAATACAATTCTATAAATCTTACATATAGTGTCGGTGTGAAGTATTCGTTATCCGAACATAAAAATCTTTCGCGAAAGCATTTATAATCAGATTTATTCGCAGTCTGAACTGTTTGTTAATTGATCACAAGGTGTTTCGATTCCTAGTCGCGAATAAGGAAACACAAAATTTCTACTAATTTCGCTACAAAAAAGAATTTTAGCAGTAAGTAGTTAGTGAAGCATCTAACTGATGATTAAACTTAATTATAACTGATTTATAATTAATAACTTAATCGTTAATAACAACTAACGATTAAATAAGAATTTAATCCTTAATCGCAATTAACGATTGTAAGATGTTCAATCGTTCGTCGCTGTTAATGACTAAAGCAGAAATTTAATCGTTATTTATGATTGACAACTAAAATTGGAATGTAATCATTAATTGTGATGATTAAAGATTATTGGAAAAATTTATTCGTTAATCGTTGATTAATTATTTACCTATTTACCCTTTGTCGAAAACTACATCCAGATTTGATACATTCCGTAATCCGTTGTCTAGAACTACTAAAGTTTGTTTTCCTGTAGGAAAGTGGAGATTTGATATCTAGAAAATTGTCTTCGAATGGAGACTGATATTTCCAAAGCTGATTGAAATGATGCGTTACGATGGCCGAAACTTTACTGGAGAATTTGTTATCGAAATGTGTTCAAAAGTTGTAGTCAATCGAAGATTGGTTATCCTGGATTAGATAATAATCGGATTAATATAAATTTTCAGCTTGATTGTTTATCTGTGATATCATTGGAAGTTTTTCTGAGATTCACGATTTAAGATTCATTTTTGTTTTGATGCATTTAGCACCTCTTAATATCTCTCTCAATATTATTTGATATTTTTTGTCAGTAGATGCGTATTCGTGCAAATTCTGACCAAATACCACATCTGGATGATCAAATACCACATTTCTATCTATAATAACAATTACAGGTACACACGACATGCTTTAATTTCAATTCTACAACGTTTTTTTTAGAATTATTAATCAAATTATTACCTGAATTCTGGCGACAATAAAGACAAATTAGTAGTTTCATATAACAAGCCGATATCGTTTTTTGAATCAACTAAACTATTTCCATTTATTCCATTATTGGAATTAATAAAGAGCAACATTACGGAAAGGGCACATGAGCAAATACATGTTCGTTATAATTTAACTATAACTGTGGAGCAGAATTTCCGAATTATTGATCACATATATAATTATTTTCAATACACAATGTAATGGGGAAATGTAATATTCGAAAAATGATATTCAAAATCATTTTTTAAAAACTGTGTAATTTTCTTTATTAAAGATAAAATAGTCGTTTTTTCCTTGTCACTTTATATGTTATACTATATTATAGAATTATAAAATGTAGTTTATGCAAATTATGATTTTATAGGACATTTATCAATGTCTAAGTCTAACAATAAGTTATAAATGAAAGGAAGTTTTTGAAACATGATTTTCTTGAAATCACTTTGGCATATATGTCCGTATTTCAAATAACATCTCAATTTGCATATAATTATTGCTGAACTATTCGGTTATATCAAAGAAGAATAACCATTTGAAAAATTGTTGGATTCCATGTAATGGAATCAACACAGTTATAATTTCGAAGAGTTTATTCCTTGCTACAATCGT